ATGCGCACATCTTGGTTCTGCACGCAATGGACATACGATGTACTACATGGTTTGTTTAGGGTTTGTTCAAGTTTGAAGCCAATCTCATCCACTGCTGCACTATTTAAACTGCCATTTTAAAGTTCTCCATCCACTCAGCTGGCTACTTACGACGCTCACTTTGTTCTGTCATTTGATGCCTTTCAGTTCAGTGTGACCCCTATACTCCTGGTCTCCAGTGACTCTGCATAGATCACACTTTGGCTTGATAAACTGTTTCATACATTCCCACATTGCTTGTCACTTGGTCCCTATTTCTCAATTTTTGATGTTCTTTGTGTGTGTTGGGGGGTGGGGGGTTTTATTTTCAGTTTGTCATTTTGTACTTTAGGTACTGATGTAAAGTGAAACTAATAATAAAAAAAAAATGCTGTAAAACTAGCTGGTGTCTTGTACACTTAATTTCTTTTGCGACTAAGGATCATTCCTCTTATCTATAGCTTTTGAGTGATTCAGTTTGGTAAATTGTGCGTCGATTTGATTTGGAGCACAGGCTTGTCGGGCTGGGGGTGAGGATTGCGGTAGGATGATTTGTCATGCGCTGCTCAGAATGGCCGCAAGGAGGCAAGAGGTTTACCGCTGTTCCGTAGTGGGAGAATACTAAGGCTCCCCCTTTGGGTGGGATAAGGTAGACTGCTTTTTTTTTTTGTGTCATAGTTTCAATCAAATGTATCTTGGCGCTTGTTGAGCAGTACGCAAGAATTATGTCGCTTATAGTATGCATCTAGCCTTAATCCAAGAAAAGGTTTAATTGTTTACGTTCTTAATGTGCACGGCACTGGGAAGGCTCTATAACCAGACTGAAAATTACCTATAGTCGGCATGACTGCGCCTAATGACACAATGAGTGTCTAACTACATTACCCATAATTCCATTGTTGGTTATATCCACTGGGCAATCTCTTTGCAGACCGCATTTTTTATTGCAAAACTTAAAAATTATTTATTTGTTCTTGAAGCATATATCGTGCATATAATCTTGTTAATGTGATCATGACTAATTCATTTGTTGCCCCTTTTATGTTCATACTTCCGGCCACTCTCCGGAACCTTCACAAAATTTCTTGGGGAAATTCGAAATTGCTTTTTTTCTCCTCCTGGAGATATGCTATACTAATTTATGTCAATTAGCGCTTTATTAGGTAAGTATTAAAGTATGTATTTGACTAATAGCATAATAACGATGTATTGGATAATCTGAAAACACATAATCGGATGAAGGGAGTAGCAACACCCCTGACAGTTGGTCTGTCCCGCGGAGTATTTATCCTTAGCGCAAGGCCATTGATTGCGCCGTGCAGATCTTGGTTGCTAAGGAGACACATTGGGCAGGTAACACACATTCACGGTCGATAACTAGGTAATGTTAGCACACTATGTAGTTAGCTAGTTAGCCAACTAGATAGACAACACTGCACGCCTTGACATGTGCGTTTTGTTTTTTTAGCAACGCTGTTGGATGTTAGTTTGCTGTTGAAGGATGTATCGATGTGCATCTTAATGCCCGTTGTGTGCGGATGTAACGCCTGTACCCGCTGGTTGATGATATGCCATGTCATATTTATAGTCATGCCCTATATGAGTACTGTTTTCCTTTTGTAATAAAGGCCTCCGAGTTTGCTTCGCTTTGCGGAGCCCCCTCTGTATTCCGTTTATTATGCGATCGGGCTGTAAGAAAAAGGCATTAACCCGGCAGATACTCTCCTGGCCGTGGTGCACTTGGCAGCTGGCTAGCTAAACTATCCGGCAGTGGGTAGCAATTAAACCAGCTCCGGGGCTTAGGCTTTCTCTTTCGTTGGTGGTTAATCATTTCTATTCGGCCATTAAGCTAGCTAGATGGCGAATATTTATTAATTACTTTATCGTTAGATTACGTGTAACATCCCTCAGACAATATTTACTTGGCGCTTCAATACTGCTCGCCAGTAAATAAATATCAAATATGTATAACTACAGGATACGGCAGTCGGCTAAAAATAGCTCTATACTAGCACCAGTTTATTTGTTATGGTTCGCTGGCCAGTGAAGGAGCCTGACGTTCTGCTTTTATAGAATGTTGGTATGTGTTATGAAAAGGGATGTATACAGTGATTAGCATGTTTTAGGGATAATGCTATCTGGTGTTATGCTAGCTGCTCCGTATCGCTAGCGCTGCTTCGTTGCCAAGGTAACGGGCCCGTTTTAAATGGCCGCGGCTGCACGGTGAGCTCAGGCCGCTCTCGGGCCCCCCACCTCCGGGCCCCCATCCAAGTTATTGCGACGGCACCTTAAGCTATCTTCATCTGGTAGTTCCCTCTGGTCGTCAACAGGTTATGCTTGTAGTCATTTAGCGACTTCCCCTCATTAAAGCTTATGTCGTTGTCATAATAGTACTACTGATGTTGCTGGTGTAATGTGTTAGTGCGTCTCCCAGTGATAGAGTCCAGAAGGCGAGCTTGTATTTAAAGTATACGTATTTAAAGCACAAGGTATGTAAATAATTTTAACGGTGAGCTCATGCCTTTTGTTATGACTCCAGTCATTGAAACCTCATTATGACGACCTTATATACTCAGTCAGTGCTTCGCTTTCGAGTCGAGACAGATTGACCAGAACAAAGTCGCAGTTCGTTGGAACGTGGTTTTGCAGTAGCCGCAGCTCTCGGTTTTATTGCTGATTGTTGCTCCGTCTGCTTTCCATAACCAGCGAGCACAGAACAAAGGCAGAAGCGAACTCAAGATCTTCCTGTTCAGCTTGAGGGTGTTTAACTCGCCTGTTGCTTTCTGAGATGCGTGCTGTTGCTTTGACCAGCTTATTTTAACTTGTTATTCTGCAGCTTTTGTTGTTAGTGTGGTCCTGACTGAGATGAGTTGCATTTGTTCTGTATTTAGAAGTGCCACACGATCCTGGAACTGGGAAATTCTATAGAGTTGTTCTTTGGGGAGTGTGTGTGTGTGTGTGTGTGTGCGCGCGTGTGTGTACACGTGTGTCTGTTTGCATGAATGCATTCGCAAGCCTGGCTTTTCGTCAGTCGGGTGGATGGTCGGCTGGTTTGCAAACTCATCGTAGCAGCAGGTTCTGTAAGTTTGCATACGCCTATGGGCACCTGTCGCCGCTCGGCAATGCGGGAACCATAACCGTCCTGCTCAATGAGAGAGGGGGAGCGTGCAAAATGCTTTTGTGGGCCCTTGCCATGCATGTCGTTCACAGCTTGCAGAGGAGCCAAAGGAAGGCTATGCAAAGGTTAAGACCTGCCCTCTCTTAAATCCCAAAGCCTACAAAAAGAGACCCCCAACCAGCCCCTCCTGGCCTGTCCAATCTGTTAAGGGATCTGCTGTCGCAAAGATTTTTCCCGTCCCTTTTGTCGTGTGTGATATGATTGCTTTTTTAAAATAGCTGATGCAAACTGGGTATTTACTGAGAATGAATTTGGGAAGGGATCCCCTTCAGTGAAGTGGATTCTTTTTTGTTTCTTTCGGGAGTCTTCATGCTCGACGTGAACTCTGCTAAAACCTTGTTTTCCCTCTACTCGCTGAAATTCCTGTGTTTATATTGCTCCATGCTCTCCTGGGTCCTGCTTCTCTTCGCCCTGCTCTGGAGTTTTTTTTTTTTCTTTCCCTTAACCCCCCCCTCCCTTTTGTCTCAGCTGCAGAACTGGTATGAGTTGCACTCGGCCCCCATCCCATCTTAGTCCTCCATTACACTCACCCGGGGGCGCAGTATCCGCACGTGCACGCTCACAACAGCAGGGCTCGGCCTCAGGGATCGTCACACTCAAGCGAGCTCGGCTGAATACGTTGTGCTGATTATAGCCTGAACAGCCGGTTGTGTGGCGCCTTGGAAGCGTGCAAGGAAAGTGTGTGAAAGGCGTGCGAGAGGAGTGCATGCATTTGGTGCCCTTAAGCCACGCTTAGAAAGTGCGCCTGTGTACTGTAGGGTGCAGCGGTTGTGGAATCTGACTGACGCCAGCCAGGCAGTAAGGAAGCTGCCATTTTCCTATTTCTCTGTGACCTATAAGGAGTGTTCAGTGTGAGGACTGTAGTTGAGCATTTTATTGTAAAGAAGGTAGTGTTTGGTCCTGTTTCGTCCTGCAGATTTAAACGTGAACCTCTTTCGAAGGTTTCCTTCACCCTCTGGGTCCCATGTGATCTCAGGTGAGTGGAATAGGAACAGCATAACAGGCATGGGAATCTGTGAGGAAATAAGCCTTAACATGTGGAAGCAGTTAACTCTGAAGACAGTGGGCCGGTCGGGCTGCAGGTGGGGGTTGGTGAGTTTGAGCGAGGTAGCCGTGTGTAGGCCCCTCTACCTTCTGTTCTGCCTGTCGGAGGTGTGAGGGGGGCTCTTCAATACAGCTCAGATTTTATCTCTTAAATTAGGGCAGATCACTGTCTGATGGATGAAAATCTCTGCGTGACGTGTGAGCATTGATTGGCAGCTAAATCCGTCCGTGGTGTTCAGAGACGAAGAGGCTTGTGTGGAGTGACTGCTATTCCGATTGTGATTCGTTGAGTTCTGTTCAGTCTGTGCTTCAAGTACTGAGGGGCTTTGGGTCCTTAAGATTACAAATAAAAAGTTTCACGTTCCAGTTATCGAAAGTTATGCTGTTCACTTGAGGGAGATTTTGCACTACTCTACCCAAATGCGAATGTGGAACGCAGCATGATGGCTATATGGTTCATCAGGATGTTCTAGCACTTTAGGGAATTCTTTTTCCTGCTGTTTTTATTTTGTTTTTATTTAACCCCCACCCCCTACACTACTGGAGAAGTTGTTTATTTTATTACTTTTAATAAGAAGATTTTGATTACTTCTGCATGCAGTCACTCTTTCAAATCTTGGTCCTTTTCAGGCAAGGCTGTGTCCAATGATGTCATCTCAGTGAGGTCCGGCAGGGTAGCCTGACCGCTGGAGGATCCGGCGTGGCGCTCGCGACTCGTCCGGACAGACGGACGGACGCTCCCTCCCCCCTCTCCCCCCCCCCCCCCCCCCCCCCCCCCCCCTGCAGGCCGGAGGTGACTCGCCATGGTGACACTCATCACGGAACAGCTTCAGAAGCAGAGTTTAGATGAGCCCGCTTGCCGGGCTTTTTCCCTTAACCTGGTGAGGTGCCGGCATCGTCACATGTAAAGCATGCTGAACATGTGCCCCGTGGAACATTGGATGCATCAGATGTGCTGACGGAGGCTTGGTTCAGCTCCCATGCCGCCTGCTCATTAAACGCACCTCTCTTCCAGTCTGTGCCTGAATCTCCCAACCCTGGAATCTGGTCCACATATGGATTGATGCCAGGTAAAGACTTAAAAATTCACTGTCACCATTCCTCATCTCTTAACATCACCAAACTTCTGTCCTCTTTTAATATTTCTCTCTGAGAACTCACCTAGTAAATAGGACTGCCGTCTTTCACATTGCAATGCTCCTTAGAAGCGTCTTATTCTGCTCCAAGGAGCTTGAAATCTGTGCCGGATATTACTGTGAAAGTTTGCATTGCTCTGGTTCATGTGTGTGAAAGAGCAAACGTGACATAGTGGTTTTTCATTGCTGCAACAAAGTGGAATGTATCTGCGTGACTTTGAAGCTGAATTTCTAGCTGTTTTAGAATTGTCGTTTAATAGATTAGCTGTTTAATGTCTGTGCATTTCTTTAAAAAAAAGAGTAGATGGATGCCCTTATTTTAGACATCTGACTCTCCATTGTGTCTTTGCCCTGGACGTCGACTGCTTGTGACCTCCATTCTGAGATAATAGGCTTGTCAGTGCCCTGGTCCTGATTAGCAGAAGAAAGCGGTTGAATTTGATTTGAGAGGATTTGGTTATGTTCTGGATGCAATGCGTAGGATCTGTTCAGCCTATGCTAAATGCCAAATCCTTTAAACAAGAGGGTGATGTGAAAGTCTGTAGATGTAGCAGCTGACGAGAAACCAAATGAATATCAGTAAAACCAAGCGTCCCATGTGAATTCAGTGATCAGTTCCTGTTTTGTTTGCAGTCCAGGATCTTGTTGTAAAGGTTTGCCAAGGTCTCACTAACTTCCGGAGAATAAGTACCTGTGCATGACAGTCACTAGCCCATTCCAGTGGTGTGAGAGTAGCTGGTCATGTGTTCTTCCATACAAAAAGGATTCTTGTGGTTCAGGATGACGGTGATGTCAGATACTTCTGATTACCCTGAATTTCTGCATTACGTTATATCTGTCTTGATATGCAGTCAGCCATCAAAGTGGTAGCACCACCCTCATCATAACTCATAGTATTAATGAGTATTAAGTATTATGCATAACTCATAAACTGTTAGTAGTAGGAAATTACCCATGTGCTTGCACCAGTTATCTTTGAAGTTAACTGACAACCCTATGCAAATAACTGGTACTTCATGTAGCTTTTTTGCATCTGGTTCACTCAGTGGGATGGCAACTTGTTTAGATGGTGCTTGTGGTTAATGCCACAAGCATGAGTGTCTTTAACTCCTGTAAGTTACCAGTGTATGAAAGAAGGTCTAAGTTGATCATTCTTATGGCTCATCATTTATAGCACAGAGATTCATCCATTATGGCAGTGTTGCTTAGGTCAGTTATCATGGTCGTGATTCGTTTCCGGCCATCGGCGGTTTGTCTGTCTACCTTTAACATTCTAGTTTGGGAGGCTGTAGTTGAGCGCCCATTTGCCGCTGTCACAGGATGACGTCACTGGCTTGCAGCCTGCTTATACAACAGGATGTGACTGTATCACATCTATATCTGTTCTCACAATTCCTTAGTGTATGGCCATGCTTTGGTCGCCGGTTTTACTTCGTGGAGATTCTGAAAGCTTTAACGCAAATAAAAAAAACTTTGTAAAGATGAAGGGTCTGTCAGTACTACTTTTTCCAGAGGTATATTTCTGGATTGGCTTCATCTTAAGGTTATTTACAATCCTTGGCTACACACAGGTTACAGTGGCCTTGAAGCAGATTAGTTACCGATTTTTATCCAAATCGCAGTTTAGCTACATTTTAGAGAACTAAGTAGATTAGATTTCTAGTAGCAGCTATGTTTTTGTTTTTCTGCTAGTAGCTATTCCTGTTGCCTAGTTCACCAGCTAACCATCCAGACAACACAAAAGCCACTGGAAACTTGTCCTCGATTTTAAATAAATAAATAAATAAATTATAAAAATACTAGGTCTGTTAAGGTTCTATTTTAAATGTACTAGTGAACCAGTTCTATCCCCCTCAGATTGTGTGAAGGTGCAGTAGCCTGATTGCTATAATATAGACTGTATAAATGTGTGAATAAGGATGCAGGCATATTAAATGCACACGACGTGATGTTAGAGACTTACGAGCTGTCGCCGGAACACCTTGTGCTTCGTAGGTGACTGTCCCTGTGACTTGCAGCACCTTGACCTGTATTCTTTCCCGTGCCCCTGACGGCCGACACGGCCCTGGTGCAGAGTGGTGATCAACGTTACGTGGGTTTAGAAAGCGGCCTGGCCTCACTACGGCTGGTGGAGGTAGCACCAGATTGCTGGAAGGAGGTGTGATGCAGTTAGCTGACGTGTGGGAGGACTCGAAGTGTTTGGAGCAGAGAAAGCTGAGCTCTGTCCTTGCTTTTTGCTGGATGCACACTGCAGTCCATTGCACAGCTGGGGAGGGAAGTGAGTGGTTTGCAGTAATGTGAGCCTGACATTTCCACCGGCAGCAGTTATTAAAGGAGATATTTGCTCAGCAGTGATGCGAGGGTTCATATCAGTGCTGATAGGGCAGCCACCTAGATAACCCATCACCTGGGAATGGTACCAAATCGTAAGCAGTGGACAGTCCGCTCATGAGGAACACGAAGGAAAGGGGCATTTGGAGAAGGTCCCACAGTAGCGTGTGACATTGTCAGATTTTGGTGGGGTTTCCTAAACAAACTGTATCCTCTAGTTATTTCATCTGAGTATGAAATATTATATGGTGTATATATTGTTAGTTTTCTTGGCCAATTCCAATGAAAAAAAAATAAAAAATTTCAAATGTGACCCGCCGATACTGATTTTTGAAAATTCTGATTTTCTTTCGAAGAACTATAATTGACAGCATATCCAAACAAAAATTGGATTTTCTTCATTGCAATATGTTAATGTAAGAATTTTGTTAAACTTTACAATATCCCCCAAACTGCACTAAGTTGCAGGATCTTCTCTCACTTACAAAGGCTCAAAAAGTGCTCTGTGACTAGAAAGGGGTACAAATAACAATTAACTGACAATGAGCTTCTGTACACCCAACTTAATCTGACATATTTTACTTTACCAAACAAGAGCAGGTGCAACAGGTTTAAATCAAACACGTCGGTTACTTGTATCTTTTGTTTAAATTCACCAGATAACACAACACCGACCTTTTTTCCTCTTTTTTTTACTCGAATTAAAAGTCCAAGGTTGCAAATTTCCAAATAACACTGAAGTGGACTACACTCTTCCAAATAATAGGTGCAGGGTAATATTAATACCAATGTCGCATGTTATACCCGTACGATCGCTAGTAAACGAGATTAAGATCAGGCTTTTTCATACCTTGATACTGTACGGCCATTATAGCGCAGGGGGTTAAAGTTTCAGTAAAACATGTTTACTCTGTCATAGGATAAAACCTTAGCTAGCTTTTGCAATTTTAATAATTATTACTTTTCAAGATTTTCTAGTATATGTTTATTAATCAGTTTAAAGTCTACCAACGATGATTCACCTGGTTTTCGTGGTAGTTCCCCCCCCGGTTTACTTTGACTTTACATGTATTACAAATTGCAAGATTGGTGTCTTCACTCAGTGTAGAACGTCCACGGTAATGACTCGTTGGCGTGCGGCTGTGCGGTGCGAGGGGCCGGTTCCGTATCGGCAATCATGAGGCTAGTCTCAATCAATCAAATCAGCCGATTGGTAGCCCTGGCCGACTGATCGCAGCATGTCTAGTTTCCTGACTTGCCTGTAATATCTGAATTTTGTTTGCTTGTTCGTTCGTTCGTTCATTCATTCATTCATTCATTCATTCATTCATTTATTCATTTATTCATTTATTTTAAAAAGTTCACAGTAATATCCATCTCGTGTTTCAATGGCCCGCAGGCGCTTATAAGAGCTCTGTGAAATGTGTTATATTCATGTTCGTCCCTCCTACCGGGAGCACCTAGTCGGTGTGGATGTGTCAAGCTGGCGGAAAAACTGAATCGCTACCTGTTATTGACACGTGTGGTTTCTGGGGACTAATGACTCATACTGTAGCCGACATTGTAGCTTGTTTGCTCGGTGATCTCCGCTGCAAGCGTGCGGGCCAGTGCGGCAATGGCAGGCTAGCTGTGTGTGTGTGTGTGTGTGTGTGTGTATTTGCGCACACGTACCTGGAATCTGCATCTGTAAGACCCACAGCCCGAGGAATTTATTGCTCTGACTGCTCTGAGATGGAATGAGGCAATTATTTCTAGAAAATAGTAGTAATACGATAAGTTTCTGGAATATGTGTGTGGGAAAACTCTCACATTTAGTCAGTACGCCTTGCCTGATCAAAATATGTTTGATGGGGGAGAAGATTTTTAAAAAAGATCAGTTCCAGAATTGGGACGTTATACGTACTCTTACCTCCTAATTACTTGGTATCATGGGAAACAGTTTTTCCCCACAGAATATTCCATTTGTTATGTATTGTTCGCTGTTCAGGAATCTGTACGTTGCTAGTTAACTCAAGCATCCGAGTTGTCAAAGTCTGATGAAGGAAGCATGTTTATTTACACAGTAGATGTCAGCCCGGATAGTTGCACTCTTAAGACTTTGTCTTATGTTCTGCGCCCTTCTTCACACCTACGCCGGATTGACGCCGTTTGCATGAACAATGCAAAAGTGCAAAAGTGCTGATGTAACAGTCAGCGAGTCGCATCACGTTCACGCTTTGATGCGGTCAGGCCTCTGCGGCCTTCTGGGTGTGCATGTGTTGCCTGTCCTGTCCTCCCACCCATATTTATTGGAGCCAATTTCTGCCGTGTGTGTGTGTGTGTGTGTGTGTGTGTGTGTGTGTGTGTGTGTGTGTGTGTGTGTGT